CCCCCCCCCAAAATTGATGTCATGTCTCTCACTTGCTTTGAGACGCCTTACTAACCTTTAGATTTTGATAAAATTGTTTTGCTGAAGTGTGGCTCTCCCTTGCCTGCCACAGGCAGGTTTCAGAAGAATATTTTTCCTTTTGAGCACAGAGAACAATAGAGAGAGTAGAGCCAGATTTTAATTTTTAACTTATGTAACTAAACAGTGTAGTGTTCTCAGTTAAAACTGGCTACTTTCAAAAGCTGCTCTATTTACACAAACTCCTACAGTATATCTCACTTCTACTATTGAGAATTGGATCACAGGGGAGTAACTGCAGATCATTTAGTGTAAGACACTGCAACGAGAAGAAAAATCCTCAGTGGAGTTTCTGTTAGTACAATTTTTGTTTCCCCAGAGTAACACCAACTTGCACATGACTTGAAATTTATTGCTGCTTCTACAGGATAAAAATACAACTCAAAACATGTTAATACAAGTATAAACAGCACTGATGCTGTGTTTCCTAGAAGAGACACCCGAGATGAAGAATTAAATTGCAGTGGCATTGAAAGGGAAATTTGCCAGGTTCCGGAGAGGTTGTTATCTATGTAAGCAGTTTGCCTGAAACTGGTCCTTTGAGAACATGTGACTAGTCAATACTTGAAAGGAGACAGAAATTTTGTTTGCAAGCTGCAGCTTTAACAGAATCCAGAATTCTGAAATTCTGCTGAAAAAAAGAGAAAACAAACAGATCTCTCTTCATGGGAAGCTCCTGAATGAAAATAAATCTGTTGTGTAAAAACTGAAGAGTAAAGAAGTGTTTAATTTTAGATTGTACCAAATATATCCATTGGGAAGTGAGAGGAGAATTGCGGGTTGATTTGGGGGGACTTTTTTTCCAGGACTGACACTCCCTCCCACCCCCTGATAAGAGGAGGGATGTTGCACGCTAGTCTGGTAGCTTTAATAGACACCGATTAAACTTGTGGGCTTTCATGCTCTCTTGATAAAAGTGCTTTGGTATCATCATCTCCAGGAAGGAGGACAGAAATATCTGAATTATTTTTGAGGAAGCTGAAGCAAAGACAAAGCATTACTGCATTTAAAGCTTGATACAGGTAACTACAGAAGACAGTTTCTGTCCAGGACGTATGCAGGTGGAGGGGGTGAGATGACTGCAGTACAAACACATTATGTCAAACAAGTAGAAGTCTGTTTGGCCTTCTATGTAAGGAATCTTACTGTTCGGATTTTTTAGGTGCTCAGTCTCGTGGACTGAGTTTTTCACTCATCATTTGTAGCCTGTGATGTTTAGACCTCAGCAGACAAGCAGAATCACAAGAAATTAATGAAGTTCTCATTCTGCACTTTCTCCTGACTTGTTTTTTGATCATATGGGTATTTCCACCCCCAAAAAAAAACCTGGCAAAGATTAATCAAGATTTTACTTGTACACAGTGCATAGCATATAGAAGGTGAATGAACAACCTCCATCCCCAAAAGCAGTGCTCCACAATTGCATATGGCCTCTCTGCTGCTGGCACTTGCAGCTCGCTGTAACTAAAAGATTTGGCCCATTACCCTGCAGTCTGGCATGCATGCTGCGATACTCACACTTATGTCCAGCATGCTGGATTTCCTTTACAGTATTTGCATACACGGAAAATCAGCCCGTAAGGATCAAATTACTCCATTAGGGCCACAGTATGTGTATGTTAATATTCCAGCCCTGACTTCTTGTGTGTAGAATTAATTTAAAAGCAAATCAATTAATTAATTGAGTTAAAATCATGTTTAAAGGCCCTCCAGAAATGCTTTTATTTGTGGGTTTTGACAGAAGTTTGGAACTGCCAAAGACTATCCTGATATTTAGGGGTTTTTAACTGGTTTTAGGAGAGAGTATACCTTGTGTATTTTAGTATGGAGTTTGACCCAAAAGGACAATCATCTGTAACCACAGATAGGAAACAAATGGTGGTGGTGATGCCATGAGAGAGCCTACTGAACTGGTAGCTAGTTAGTTTGCTTCACAGAAGTTGTGGGAAAGAAACTGTCATTCTGTGGCTTTTCAAGGTGACCTTTTAAGTTCAGCAGTATAGTGAAGTTAGTGATTTTTATGCTGTAACTTCTGGCACTGTCACTAACTATCTCTGAACATTTTGCAGAATGCTTTTCTTCTTTTGGGCCTGTTTAATTACCTGCTTCCTCATGTATATTTAGTTTCCAGTTTGAACCTTTCTTTGTGGCTGTATTGATGTTATGTGGCACTGTTTTTAATCATATAAAATAAAGAGATATATGTGCATGCCTTTTAGTAACTCCTCAGCAGACAGAGCAGTGTTGTGCTAAAAAATTTATAGTCCTTTCCTGTGATAGGCTAAGAAGAAATAACTCGCATAGTTTCCTTATCGTGTTTGGTTTTGTTTCTTTCTGAAATTCCCACATAGTTGTGGTTTTGTCCTATTTTGACACTGAGAACTGCAATTCAAATATAATTGATGTGAACTGTTGCTAAAATAAGATTTTAATTTTTAGCCTGAGAAAATCCCACCAAGACATTACAATTTGGCATGTCCTGAGAATGCTGAGACTTACATGTTCTTTTATTAGTGAGTAACCAGAAATACTGGAAATAAAGTAGATTATGTTCCAGATTGTCAACATACGCATCCTGTCTGAAAAGTCCTCTTGATGTTTCCAAAGATTTCAGATAATAGACTATTTATTAGGAAAAAATCCTTTTGCTTTTGAAGGATTTTGATTTTCTGCAGGATTTTAATAACATATAGTTCCTCCCTTAAATATGTATCTATAATGAATATAATAGTAAGTAGAAAAGGCTTTTCTTAAACTTGCATTTTAGTTAGTACAGTTGGCACTTTCACCAAAAAAAATATTTCAGAGCACTACGGTTTGTATGCTTGAGAAGTCCCACCGTACTATGAGTATGAAACACATTTGAAGATGATTTGTCATCATAGTTGGTCACTGTTTAGCTTCAAGGCTTGAAAAATATACTCACAAGTGACAACTTTTTCAGGTAAAGCTGAAATCCTAAATCTCTAATTTCCCAAAGGCTTCATTTTCTGAAACAGCCTTACACTGCACAAGGTGTTAGAGGGCCTTTGTAGACATACACTCTTACTAGCTAAGTTCAACTTGGGCGCTTCACAGCCAAGTGGATGTCTGGAGGGTTTTCCCCCCTCCAACTCATCTCCCTGTTGTATATACACCCTCAATACAGTTGTGCTTCAACAAGTGCCAGAAATGTTCTCCATAAACGCATGCACACTGAGCACCTCAGCACCCACCACCCAGTTTCCAGCCCCTTTAGCTGCCTCTCAGAAAGGATCGTTTCCCATCCAGCCAAGAAGCTCTGTATATCTAATGGTATGCCCAGTACCAGGATGGGAGAATCATTCAGAGGAGTCTCTGTGGTTCTGGAAAGGATGCCGTGGAGGTATAGGGCCATAGCAGGGACTGGAAAGATAGAAGGATGTGCTTTGGGGCTGTAAAATGGTGTGTAAAGTACAGAATAGGTCAGTTTTGGTGTGAGGCTTATTTTTGACCTAGAGAATGTTGTATTAAACACATCTGGATGTCAGTGTTAAAAATTGAGCAATGCATTGCTATGTAATGCCAGCATAAGGGGCTAAAATTAAAGCTCTTACCACTGTAGAAGCATAAGAATTGCTGCCAAGTAATATTTAAAAATACAATGGGAGTTTGATCTTAGATTTCACCTTTACTCTAAAATAGTTTGTCTTTTGAAATTTCCACAGCTACGCAAATGAGTAAATCAGAATATCATTTACTAAAATATGAGTTGTTAGAGTTTATTAGAACACAGTCAAGTCACTAGAAATATAATTGGACCTGTTGTTAGTCATTGGACACAAAAGCATGTTGAATATTCCTCTGTTGTTCCTTGTGTTCCTAACTATCCGAGTTTTGATGGGGCAGAAGGAGGAAAATGTTTAGAGAAGTTGAAAGGGCTTGCGTTTATTTACCACTAAAGATTTTCAGTCCTTATTTCTAAGATGTGAAAAGGCAGATCGCTGAGATGCAGGTGGGTTGTGTAGCTGTACAGACTGCTCGTGGACCCACTGGTTTGCCATTACCCATTGGTGCTTGGTATCTTCATTTTCAGATCAGGTTCTTGGAGATGCCTGGGCAACACCCTACCTTTCATGGCTTTGCTTGCATGGGGGCACTCAACAGGACTCAGTATTTTTGTTGGCAATGTGTGAAGCAAGTGTTTGTCAAGTTAATAATGCTCATTTTAGTAATATTTTGTGTGTATTTACAACCTTTCTGTGAAACAATTCGTAGACTGTAGCTAGGTGGTTGTATATGTGGAGTCTGGTTTAGGGTGCATTTCTGGAGTAATAAATTGTTAAAAGTGCAAAGAGCATTAAAGACCCCTGTGATAAAATAGTCTTTGACTATTTCCAAAGACTTTCGGCACTTCCCTGGCTAGAAATGAACATGAAACGAAGGCAAATTGTGAACATCAGTGTAATAGAAATTTAGTTAGTCGTATGCTTAGATAAACAAGGATAGCTATTTGCTTTAGCTTAAAAATGTAATAAGAATCACGACTTACTTTAGATATCTAATGAAGTATCTAACATATCCATATCAAATGAGACTTTAATCAGAAAAAATGCCTTCATCATAATAAAGGAAATAAACTGGAGATTCGTCAATGGTAGGTTTCATCATATAATTTGTCACAAATTCCTGGAGAAACATTGGGAAATCGCTTGCTTGTGTCTGCTTCAGTTCTTCATGTTTAAGATGGGGTTAAATATTTCCCTGTCTAGTATGATTTGTCTATTTTTAATCTGCAAGTTCTTTCAGGCAGCGACTGTGTCTGGCTGTGCCTCAGTCTGCGGAAGACTGAATGAAAATCCAAAGTATAAGCCCTTCTGACAGACTAGCAGCACAACTGGAGTATTTTTAATGATAAAAGATCAATATTAGTGTATCTTTGCAAGTTCCATTTGCCCTGCTGGCTTTTTAGGGTCATTTAGCAGGATATGGGAGTTGGAATTATTCTTTAGTGCTTTTAGAAAGAAAGGAAAGGGTTCTGGAGTGGCTTTAAACAAGAAACAAATACGTTTGTCCCCCAAAACTGCCCCTGAAAGAACATGTATCTGTTCATGGGGTCAGTTTAGTTACAGTCAATATTCATATGCCTGCATTTCTCTAATCAAAAAATTTCCATTCTCATTCTGTGTATGTCTATTTTATGTATATATCCATACAGACATATGAAAGAATGCAGATGTTAGTTTTATCTGTTTTCTGAAGAGAATGAACTCTGAGTCTTATAGGAGAGTGAATTGAAGAGTCAGATAAATCCTCTTTCTTTCTTGTTGTGTGCCAGAATTAGTGCACTAGAAAAGCACTCTCATTTTGCTGAACCTGTGTCTTCAGATCAGTGTTAACCTTTGTTTCACATCGGCTCTTCCTTTGTCTTCCCCTGTACTTAATGTTGTCCTCGAGGAATAAGTACAACATACCTAGATTTGCTGGGGAGATGAGAAAAATGACCGGTTTCTATGCAAAAAAATTGGGCCAGTTTTATTTTTACTTTTTAAAACAACCAAGCCCCGAGTTCCTGTATCTTGCTTAAGACGTATAAAATAGAAATTCATTTGTTTGTTGCTTGTATCACGAGAATAGTGCATCTGTATGTCTTTATTAGCTTTCTGAATCCAAATGCAGTGTTTAAAGAGCTCCAGTAATTGGCCCCATTTGCAGGCTTGGAGAGGGAGCCAAGTACATATAAACCGTCCTCAGGCAGGAAGCGGGAATTAATGCACAGCGTTTCTCATCCCGTGGTTGAAATTTTGCTGTTGGGCAGCAAACAATTTAAGAAAAAAAACGAACAACTTTTGCTGCCTTTGAGAAAATTAAAATGCAGGTTTTCCAATGTTGTGTTAAGGAAATGGTACTACCAATATTTATAACAAGCGTTTTTACACGTGCGCTGAGAACGGGTGGTTGAGAAGCAGTCGAGAAGGCTGCCAGGAGTTTCAGTAGCTGCAGTTGCAGAAGCGCGTAGTCGCAGCAGTGGGGGTGTATAGACTGGAATGAAATGGCATCTGTATTTGTCAGTGTAAATCTTTAACAGTATTTTCCTGTCTTTATAATGATTTTAAACCTAGGTTGCATGAGTCGGTAAGCAGAGTACAGAATGAAATTTTTAATTTTTGTTTTAGAAACCCGATGTGCGGCTCTCCAGAAGCAGCATCGACCGAGAGGATGGAGGTCTCCAGGGCCCAGTAAGTATGTGTGGGATCTTTTCATCTCCCAACTCTTTCTCCGGTTTCCTGTTGTATGCTGTCTTGATTATGGGAGATGATTTAAAGTTTTTGCTAAATGTTTCCACTATTATTACATGATTCTACAACTTCCCAAGTGGCTCAGCTTCTGTGGGAACAGCAGCCGTGGCAAACTTGTTCATGCAGCAGTTTGGGGGATTTGGGGTTTGTTTTTTTCTTCCCCCTTGAAGCTGCTGTTGTAACAAATGCTAAAATGTTTCCACAAATATGTTGCAATAACGTTTTAATGCTCATGTGCTGTATAATTGGGCTTTTTATTTAAAAATCTGGATAGTTTTCTGAAAGTTCTGTCAACAGGAAGCAGGATTAAAATAACTTTGCAGTTGTTTAAATATCTGAAGGGTTTTCTTACAAGGAATGTAAATGGTACTGTTGTATTACCCAGAAATCTGTTTGGGGTAAATGATCCGCTATGAAACAAATGGAATAAACCCCATCGCCATTCATTTATTGCCAGACAACAGCTGCAGCTGTGGTATTCTTTCTTACTGGCTTAACTTCTGTCTGTTTAAATAAAAACGTCTCTCCAATTATTTAATTGCCATTGGAATCTCTGAATCATACTGATTGAAAGGAGGGGTTAGGCTAGGGACTGTTAATGATAGAAACCTAATGCTTCATCTACTGTTAGTCCCCAGGGATCACCTTTAAAATAGTTAAGTTAATATTTTAAATTCACTTACCTAGTTCATTTGGGATGCGATTGTAAACTCCTAGTTGGGCTTCAGTATTTCTTCACTACCTAAGAATTTAGGGACTCTTCCTGCATTTGCAGCCAAAGTACAATCATGAGTGAGTATATTAATGACAAACTGCAGCGTGGTCTCTAGAGACATTCAGGTCTGGAAGCTGCTGAGATTTTTTTCCATGAAGTTGGAGAAGACTATTAGTTACTAACTATTAGTTATGTCTTTGCTATTGTTGCATTTTTATGTAAGAGCAAGTGAAGTATCGCTGGATTTTGCGCTACTCATGAAGATGCTTTGAGATAACCTGGAGATTTTGAAGTCATGTCAGAGGTTTGATTCAGGTGGCTGTCAGGGGCAATGGGTTTAAAGTACAGCTTCTTGCAGCCAGCTATTTTCTCTGACTGGTATTTGATTTCAGCATGACTGCCTGGGGTTAGAATAAAAAGTAAAACACCCAGATCCCAAACTGCTTATAGGGGAAGTCCTGGCTTCCCAGACTAGGTAGTACAATTTCACACCCCAGTTGAAAGAGTGTGAAGAAAACACTTAGTGATCATTGACAAAATGAGTTTTAAAAGAGACTCTAATTCGTGATAACTACATTTCTAGTTCCAGAATTTGATTTTGCATTTTTATAGTTCTTAATACATTCAGAACATAACTTTGACTGACTTCATTTGCAGTGGGAAATGTCTAATGCTTCCATGAGTCAATCTCAGTTTCTCACCTAGAGGATGAGAAATAGGCAGTAGTCATTTCTAGGAGAACTATGATTAAATAATTGTCCAGTGTAACACAGAGATTTCTGTGACAGTGGTGAGGACGGAATCCAGTTCACTGAGGTGTCATTTACGTCTTTCCCATAAAGTGACTTTTTGAGTAGTCGTCGTGGTAGTTGGAATGGGAGCAGAAGGCACAGCAGCTCTGATTCATGCTCAGAGCAGCAGCATCTGTGCAGTTCAGGGATGCTGGGAGGGAGAAGGAGTAATACGTGATCCTGTTCTTGGATGTGGTAGTACAAATGAAAAGTTATCACATGCATTTTATTAGTTTCTAACTGATAAGCACGTGGCTGTATAACTTTGTGCACATTCTTTTGACTTACACTTTTAATACACAATTTTCTGGAAGTCAAAAAGCAAGAATTGTGTGAAAAGTGGAATTTTACTCTCTTTCCTCTCTTCCCCTCTTTCTTTTCCCCCAGGGTTATCAGATCTGAAATAGGTTAACAACACAAATCAAAGTTAACGACATGACTGATGGTGCTGGCAGAAAGCAGATGTTTTTTCTAACTAGAGAGGGCAGCCGTATGACAGTGTGTGAGATGATCGGCCAATGGCTTTCAGAGGTTCGTGGTGACAGCAGGAGAGTTTCAGGGCTTTGGATCTTTGATTTCTACTCCTGGTTCCTGAAAGTGAAATTTGATTTTTTCAAGTCTGTAGTTACAGACTTAGAGTAGGCAGGGTGAATATGCTCCTTTATTTCTAGCCATCACGTTTCTGCTCTAAAGTATTAAGTTGATAGAATATCATCTACGAAATTTAGAAGAACTTCAGATTTCTCTCTGTGCAATACAGTTTTATGCAACCTTACTTCCTGGAATTTGTGCTTCTTGACACAGTTTTCCATAACAGATAGAAATGAGCTTGAAGTAGAGTTAGTGTGGGAATTTTCATTTCATACAGTTAAAATTTGAAAAATTTTTGAGCAGCTGAAGGCAGACCTCATGAAGTGCTAGGCAACCTTAGCCATAGGAGCTACTGTCAGATCTGTCTGTAATTTTAAAACCATAACATGAATTTCTAAAAATGCCAGCTGAAGCTTTTAATAAGTGCTGAACTGAACTACAATTGTGACTATCCTTCGAGTTTGTTAATGGGTCGGTTGCAAGGCATGAGCATCTCGGTTCAGTTTGGAGGATCTCCTGCAGAGTTTCTGTGTGCTGTTGGGCAAGCTGCTTGGTATCCTCATAGTCATCTAGCACTGAAATGAGGTGATGGTAGAATTAGAAGCTAAGGAATAGTAAGTGTACTGCTATTGTCCCTCTTATCTGGGTGTGTTTCTGAAAACAGAGAATATGAGACATTCAAAAACAGTTGCTTAAAAGGTCAGAAAAGAAAGTTAATGAATTAACATTCTTAGATGGTGATTTATGATAGCATTATCCAAACTTGAAGGTGAATTGAAGCAAAACTGTGTTTTCGTACCATTAAAAGTGAATCCTAAGTGGTCTGAATGTCATCTTCAAAATGTTAAAAAAGCAGCTTCCTCAGGTCTGATGCAAAGAAGTATTCTGACTTTGCAGAAAGTGGTCTTTATTTTATAAATAAATGCCTTTTTGAGATGTTTCAGTACTAGACCTATTAAATTCTAACTGCCTTCAGTGTTTTACTTTGCAATGGAAACTGCTTTATACAGATACGCTTGCATAAAATGTGACTCTGTTGGGATTGTAATACTTTTTATTACATGACAACTGCAAGTTTTGTGTAAAGTATTAATTTGGTTGCGACCAAACAGATTTTCATCTTCTATAGAATGATAGAATACCTCAAGTTGGAAGGGACCCATAAGTATCATCGAGTCCAACTTCCTACTCCTTGCAGGACTACCTAAAACTAACCCATATGACGAAGAGCGCCGTCCAGGTGCTCCTGGAACTCTGACAGGCTTGGTGCCGTGACCACTTCCCTGGGGAGCCTGTTCCAGTGACCAACCACCCTCTCAGTGAAGAACCTTTTCCTAATGTCCAGTCTGAACTTCCCCTGACAAAGCTTTATTCCATTTCCTTGTGTCCTATCACTGGTCACCAAAGAGATCAACACCTCCCCCTCTGCTGCCCCCCTTCAGGAAGTTGTAGACTGCGGTGAGTTCCCCCCTCAGCCTTCTCTTCTCTAAGCTGAATAAGCCAAGTGACCTCAGCTGCTCCTCATATGTCTTGTCGTCAAGGCCTTTTACCATCTTAGTTGCCCTCCTCTGGACACACTCTAATAGTTTGATATCCTTCTTATATTGAGGCACCCAAAACTGCACCCAGTACTCGAGGTGGGGCCGCACCAGGGCAGTGTAGAGTGGGACAATCACCTCCCTCGACTGGCTAGCTATGCTGTGCTTGATGCACCCTAGGACACGGTTGGCCCTTCTGGCTGCCAGGGCATACTGTCGACTCACATTCAACTTGCCATCAACTCAAACGCCCAGATCTCTTTCCACATGGCTGCTTTCCAGCCTCTCGTCCCACAATTTTTATGTGTAACCAGGATTACCCCGTCCCAGGTGGAGAATCCAGCACTTGCTGTTGTTAAATTTCATACAGTTGGTGATTGCCCAGCTCTCTAGTCTATCCAGATCTCTCTGTAAGGCCTCTCTACCCTTGAGGGACTCCACAGCTCCTCCTAGTTTAGTATCGTCGGCAAACTTACTTAATGTACATTCGATTCCTGTGTCCAGATCATTTATAAAAACATTAAAGAGCACTGTCCCTAAAATTGAGCCCTGGGGAACCCCACTGACCGCCAGCCTGAACTAAAACTCTTTGGGCCCAACCCATCAGCCAATTCTTCATCCAATATATTACAGACTTGTCTAGCTGTGTGCTGGACACTTTGTCCAGAAAGATACTGTGAAAGACAGTATCAAAAGCTTTGCTGAAATCCAAAACCAACCACATCTACTGGCTTCCCTTGGTCAACTAGATGGGTGACCTTGTCATAAAAGGAAATTAAGTTGGTTAAGCAGGACTTTCCCTTTGTGAACCCGTGCTGGCTACGGCCAATGACTGTGTTGTCTCTCAAGTGTTTTTCAGTAACTCCCAGAATAACATTCTCCATAATTTTACCAGGCACTGAGTGAGACTGACAGGCCTGTAATTACCAGGGTCTTCCTTCTTACTCTTCTTGAAAATAGGGACAACATTTGCCAGCTTCCAGTCGGCTGGGACCTCTCCAGACTCCTAAGACCATTGAAAAATAATGGAGAGAGGTCCCACAATAACATCAGCCAGTTCTTTCAGTACCCTGGGATGAATCCCATCGGGCCTTATGTTCATCCAGCTGGAGCAGCAAGTCTCGAACAAGTTCAGAGCCAGCTGGGAGTTTGTCATCCCCCCAGTCACGGTCTTCCAACACAAGGCTCCCAGGGGCCCCAGGGTCCATCACTGATGTTGAAGACAGAGGTGAAGAAGGCATTAACATCTCTGCTTTGTCTACGTCCCTGTTTGTGAGGTAACCACCTCATCAAGCAACAGGCCAATGTTATCTCTGATTGTCCTTTTGCTGTTAACATACGTAAAATTTTTTAAAAATGCCTTTTTGTTGTCCTTCACAGTGCTGCTCAGCTTGAACTCTAATTGAGCTTTGGCCGCATGAATTTTCTCCCTACAGTGACGAACAGCATCTCTGTAGTCCTTCTTTGTCACTTGTCCTTGCTTCCAATGTCCGTAGGCTTTCCTTTTCCGCCTAAGTTCTAGAAGAAGATCCCTGCTCAGCCAAGCCAGCCTTCTGCCCTGCTTGCTTGACTTCTGACACTCTGGAATTGCCTGCTCCTGTGCTCTTGAGAGATGGCTCTTAAAAAGTGACCAACATTCATGGACCCCAATACCTGCAAAAGCAGATTCCCAGGAGACCTTACTAACTAGCTCCCAAAGGCTGCTCTCCCCATACCCAGGGTTGCAGTTTTGCTGGCAGTTTTTGTCCTATCACCAACGATTTGAACCGCAACTTCGTGGTCACTTTGACCAAGACAACCACCAATCACCACCTCACCCATGAGTCCCTCTCTGTTTACAAACAACAAATCTAGGAGGGGGCACTTTTCCTAGTCGGCTCCCTTAGTACCTGCACGAAGAAGTTATCTTCAATGTGCTTCAGAAATTTCCTGGAGCTGTTTGTGTCTGCTGTGATATTCCCAATTGACATCTGGGAAGTTAAAATCACCTGTAAGGACAATGGCAGTTGATCTAGAGATATCTCTTAATTCCTTGTAAAATAATTCATTGGTGTCATCATCCTGGCTGGTTGGGAGGTCTCACAGCTGGCTTGAGTAAACTCCCACAACAACATCCCCTTTATTTGCTTTCCCCTTCATCCTTACCCAGTCGATCTCAACCATGTCATCACCAACTGTGTAAGCACCATACAATCCAACTCCTCCCTTACATACAGCACCACCCCCCACCACCTCGCCTGCCCTGCGTATCCCTCCTGAAAAGCCTAGAACTGTCCATCATGGCACCCCAGTCACAGGATTCATCCCCACAGGT